CCAGGTGCTATTTTTTTTTTTAAATCCTATTCTGACTTGTGATTAGATGAATCATGAAAATGTCTCTAAGATTTATGTTTTTTTTTTTCAAGGAAATTGTCTTAAATCCGGTCTGTCCACATGAACATGGTCTGATCAAATTGACTGTTGAGTCACAGAAGTTTGAACCTTAGATTTGTCCATTTCACACATGAGGAGGCTGAGAGGTGAAGTGGCTGCTCAAAGTCACATAGCTGGCTTGAGTAACTGGCTCAGTGCAACCGAGAAATTTGAATTGACCTGTGTATGTTTGATGAGGCAGAGCCTTTAGGTTATGCAGAAGTTAGTCATAGCACCTGTAAGAGAGCAGTGGAGAAAAGATTTTGCTAGCTACTCCCTGCCTATCATATAGATAGTGTCCAGGGGAGGGATGATGGAGGATTGAGCTCCCTTATTCCTAAATCCAGGGGTTCTGTGTGTGGATCAGGTAGAGACAAGGGGAAACTATGTTTGGAAGGTGAAGGAAACAGAGTTAGGGTAGGCAGTTATTAGTGGGGACTGAATGAAGCCTGTCAAATGTTTGTGCACACAGAAAGTTAAATTCGAACAGTGCAGCAGGGAATACAGTAAATATCAACTGTTCCTTGCCCCATCCCTACTTCTGTATAGCCCAAGTCCTTTTTGCTTTTGATTTTTCTCCAAAATTCTCCATCATACGTGAGACCTTTGTTTCTCCAATAATTAATTTTAAGTGCTGGTGCTAGAATCTCTGTTATGCATGATAGAATAAAAAGTCATCTAATTTCTTTCACCTTTTCTTCAATTCTATTAATATTATTAATATTTATTGTGATATTATTAGTCTGGGTTCTTTTATTGGTTAATTTTTAAAGATCTACTTCAAATGCTGCATCATAATCCATCATATTTAGACAAATCTGAGCCACTGTTGAGAAGATGTAAGATGAAATTGGAAGCCCTGAACTCCTTTCTACTTTTTCTTGTTCCAATTTTCATCATCCCCCAACTGTTTCGATTAATATCATCAAAGTTTATTACTTTTTCATTCTATTTTATAAATTTGATTAAAGTTTCCCTGCTTTCTTTGCCTGTAGTTTTAATTGAAAAATTAAGCACCAATATGAGTCATTAGCAATGTTACAGTAACATATTATTTACCCCAAGATCAAGTAGAGTGACTGGCGCTTCTGAGTATACAGGAAATGATACAAACCTGGTGTAGGTGAAGGTCATCACCTTTACAAAATAAGTTCTTAATAGAACTTATTTTAATTTACTTCAGCTTCTATAAGTCATGACATTTGCATTTGCTTCATATTTGTTGCTTTTTAAACATAGATTTTGTTTTCAATTTTCTTTCAGTTTCCTTATTGAAAAAGAATTTCATCATCTTGCAAAGGTTTTCCACTTTATCAGATTACCTGTAAATGGAGATCTACCTTTTTATCAAGGCTTTCATCCTAGAGCTCTTTCTAACTTGCTGGTCTAGTTGGGACTTATTTTCATGGCTTATTGTATAATTTTATCTCTGGTTTGGTTTTACCTTTTTAATGCTTCTGGTTTTTGAAAGCTTGTGGCTTTAGCATACTGTTTTCATTTTCTTAGGTTAAGAAAACCTCAAGTATTTTTTTTTCCCAGAAAGAGTACATAAGGAGACAATTCTAATTCTTGCATGGTTTAATATTTAGCCCTCACATCTGAATGACAATACTGCTGATGTAAAATTATAGATTCAAGATTATTTTCCTGTAGAACTTTGAAGACATCTGTTGCATGTAGTGTTTCTGGGAGCAGATATGGTGTTTGGGGACAAAATGTTCATGAAGGACCAGTACCCGTGAAAAGCAGGATTGTGCTTACTGAGGAAGCAGAACTGAGATTCAAGTGTGAGGAAGTCCTGGCCAATGTTGTAGGTGGTCTGGACCAAATTTTACTGTGAATGATCTGTGGCTGGGATGTTATATATCCCTCTCAGGTGTGAAACATGTGTGAAACCTATGTGGTTTCATGTTTTTGCTATTCTAGAACTTTGTTTACATTCAGATCCGTGGTGCCCCTGATGCCCACAGTACTAGTGTGGGTTTAGTCATTTTTCACTTTCTTTGTTATCATCATTGGGATTTAATGGAACATTTTTGGAGATGTTGAGGGCATTCAACCCTCTATCTTGAATGGGGTGTTCCTGTATTTAGTCATTTTTCACTATCTTTGTTATAATCATTGGTATTTAATGGAACATTTTTGGGGATGTTGAGGGCATTCAACGCTCTATCTTAAATGGGGTGTTCCTATAGTGTTTTATAGAAATTGTATTTTTATTGTGGTAACATTGGTTTATGACACCGTAGGGGTATAGATTCCCACTTCTTCATGTAGATGTTACTATACACACCCACCACCAAAGAACCCATTATCTTCCAACATAGCTAATTTGACTCCCTCCTCCTTTTGTTCCCACCAATGAAGCCCCCTATGGTAGCCTCAATTCTATGGTCAGATTTCTAGGGTATGTGTTGTTTTAACTTTATCTATTCCTTTGTTCTGTTTACACTTCACATGAGTGAAATATATGGATTTGTCTTTCTCCTTCTGACTTATTTTGCTTAACATAATCCCCTTCAGTTCCAAATGACAAGATTTCATCATTTTTACAAAATAGCTCAGTAGTATTCCATTATGCACTATACACTCTTAGTCCATTCATCTGTTTTTGGGTACTTATACTGTTTCTCTAACTTGGCTATTGTAAATAGTGCTACAATGAACATAGGAGTGCATATTAACTTTTTAAATTAGTATTTTTGTGATATTCAAACAATGCCTATGAGTGGAATTGCTGTATCATACAGTTGATCTATTTTTTTTTGTACTTTGAGAAACTTTTATACTCTTTTCCATAGGGTCAAATAAGTTTACTTTCCACCAGTAGTATATGAGGATCCCTTTTTCTCCATGACCCTCATTAGCATTTGGTGTTTCTGATCTTCTTTATATTGGTCATTCTCATGGGTGTTATGTGATGTCTCATGGTGATTTTAATTGCAATTACCTGATGATAAATGACAATGAGCATTTTTTTCATATGCTTATTGGCTACCTGCACATGTTCTTGAGAGAAGTGTCTATTTTGCTCCTTTGACCATTTTTGATTGGGTTGTTTGTTTTCTTGTTGAGTTGTATGAATTGTCTGTAGATCATGGATGTTAGCCTCTTGGTTGTAAGGACAATGCTTACAGCCCCTTCTTAACCTATTTCTTCAGTGAACTCCTGAGATCTTCAGTGGACTCCAGTGAGTTTTCTAATGTCATCCCATACTTGATGTGACCTAAGAAGGAAGTTATGTATCCTCTCTAACTATCTACTCGAGGATATATGGTTTTTTTCTAACTCATACAAAGAACTTAACCTAGTATGGGAAATGTAGTAATTACTCATTCAGTATCATGTAGCTGCCTGATAGCAGAATGTGACTACTCATCTTCAAGTTGCAATTCATGTAGCATCTCCATAAAGTTTCCCAGCTCCCTTCTTAGCTATATTTGGCATTTATCCCTCTGGAGTTCTGTAGCATTTGCTCTATCTCTTATATTTCACATCTGTATTATAGTGATTGTCTAATTATCTCCTGAGCTAGTCTCAAACCATGAGAATGCTATTTTATGTTTTACTGTAATCTCAGATTATTGTAAAAGTGCTTGACCCATAGTAGACATTCAAAGATTGTTGCTGATTGAATAATTAAGACCAATTGTCCTTAGATTGGTAGTGAGGTATATAGGGAAATAAGAGATAGGAAAAGATGGAGGTAAATTATAGAACATGGCCAAGGGAGACTTTTAGCATTTCTTCATATTCAATAGTTTTGCTGTCTGGGAATTGATGATTATAAAATATCTGTTGTGGTCTGTCTGAACACAGATTGGGCAGATGAATGATATTCTGTTTGTGGAGTCAGGCATTCTTGATATCTGACCATCAACTTTAGTATTATTTTGAGTCTACTTGACCTATTAATGTTTGACACTCATTACTGCAGAACCTGACACCCTCCCAAGTGCCATTTTCTACAGCCTAGAAAAGTATTTCCTTATATTAAATATCTGATTTTCTCTATATCTTCTGGAATGAATTTGTATTTTTTTGGCCCCAAATATATCCTTTTCAGACACAACTTAAAAAAATTGCAAAGCACTATCATTATATGTGTAGAAGAAATATTTGCTTTAGAGATCATTCACCTACAATCTGAATCTATAAAATTGCTTAGTTAATGTGGGGCTTATGGTATGTGCTGGGGGGTTTTCTCCTTCATGAAGGAAATGGCTCAGCAATTTGCTCAAAGTGAGTTTGATTTAAATATTGTTATTAGGGTGCTGAATTTATTCAGGAGAACTTGAGAATCAAAATAATTGTTCTGCTCAGATATCCAAGGACAAAACAAGGAAACTGAGTCTTAACCAGGCTGCAGGGTTGGTGTCAACTTGAATGTCAGACTGGAATGAGTGCAACATTTTTGAAATAGTGTTTTTTTTTAAAGAGCTGTAGTGAAAATCACACTAATTTTAATCATACTCTCATAGATGAGCTGGCAAATTTGTATACCTTAGTGAGAAAGATGGGTAAGCTATATTCTGTTTGCCAAGAAATGGAAACCAGGAGGCCCAGCACCCAGCTTTCATTCCTACAAGGCTTAGCTATCTATTTTCAATTACCAGAGCTGACAACTCTTTAAGATTAACATTCATTTAAACACAAAACATTTCTCTGTATATTTTTTATTTGAGTCTCTCAAATACTTATAATTTCCTATCTAAGATGTTGGACTCCTGGGAAGGAGCTTCTCTCCATCTTACAAGTCTTGAAAGGGACTGGTTTGTTTGTTTGTTTTTTAAATAAACTCCTCTCAGGACAAATATTAGGGAGAGAATGAGCAATGTTTGGCTCTTAGATGATTCCCAATTTCTCCTCTTACTCATTTCCCTCTGCTGTGATCCAGGGAAGAGCCACAACCTGTTAGTAGCAGATGCTTGTGATAAACCACATCCTGTCAACCCATCTGATTCAGCACTATTAAGGTGGACAGCTCCATGCATTTGACAATGTCATATGTCACGCACTGTATGGGACTTGTTCTTTACTTTCTCCAAAGCACCAAAGCCTGCTCAGCTGTACACAGACAGAACTTGAGGTAAGATGAAGTTAACTTCCCTGGGAGCAAACGTCAAACCAACCACTGAAGCCTCTCTCTTCCAGTGAAATAGTTCTGAGGTGAGTTCTACATAGTTTCTCAGCAGACACCACCCAAAGTATTGAGCCCTTACTGCCCACATAGGTAAACAACTTATGAATGCATCGTTTATTCCTTTCCTTCCTTCTCTGTCTCGTGTTCACTACTCCCTCACTTTCATATCCTGCAGACAAGTACTTGCCTTCCTCTGCCGTGAAGGAAATCTGAACCAAGGTATTGCTGCTCAAGGTGACTTGTGCTTTTGCCCCATAGTGTTCTAACTGTTCACCATTCTACCTTCCATCTTCTAGAATACTTCTATTCATCTTCTCAGTCTCTTAATGAAAACATTGGTTGCTGTTCCATGCAGCCAGTATAACTCCCTCTTGTCATCCTCATTTCATTTCCCCACATAGCAACCTTTATTTCACTGCCCTGATATTATTTGTTTTCATCTTTAACTCCCTCTAGGATTTCTGAATTAGCATCAAAAGACATGAGAATGAGCCAGCAGAATTTGTAATTTCCCTTAGGCTGTAAGCTCCTGTGGGTAGGGAACTTGTTTGTTTTTGAATCTCAGCATTCACATGCATCTTGGCATAGAGTACACCTAGGTGGTTGTTGAACAGAGGTAAAGTCACTTTGCTGGACAGAGGATTGAGCCAGAGAGAAGCCATTTCCTCTATCATCTTTTCCCATGGAAACTCCTCTCTCCTCAGTGTTCATGATCCCTGACTCTGAGGAGGGGTGTGCTGCCAAACCCAGGGACACCCATACCTCATAGTGATAGCAATGGTCCCCAGGCAGGCTGGGCCTCTGAGGCACACACCCGGAGATCTAGGTTATCGGGCCTGCTGGGACTGAGTCACTTCAAGAGGGATTAGAGTGCCACTGAGGGTCTTTTTTCCTGTGTCCATACTATGATGCCCTATTGATGTGCCTTTGATCTGGTAGCAGCCAAGAGACTCTTTCAGAGCCAAGGGCCTGACCGAGATGTCAGCTTACCCCTTCTCCCCACAGTGAATCAAGCAGCTGGGTGAAGGGAACTGAAAATATAATAGAGCATCAGACTGCTTGAAATTCAGTTGCTGCCTCTGACAGGTGATGACAGAGTAAGCTTAGGATGATCATTTAACTTCCCTAACACTCAGTTTTCCCATCAATGAAAGGAAAACAAGAAAACCTCTCATAGCATCATTTTGAGGATTAAATGGATTAATGTTTAAAATGCCTTCATGGAGGATCTCAATCTTATGTTGTCCAAATATCCCTTTGTCAGCCTGGTGAAGCCTGTAGATTTTTCAGAATGATTACTTTTAAATTATTTTAAAATTTAAAAGTAAACAGTTACTTTTAAATTCAAAGCAAAATACATAGAATTGCAAAGGAAACCAATTATAATAAAGTTCTTAAAAATTTTTTTAAAAGCAAGTTTGTGTTAGAATATAATCTGTATTCCCTGACTCTGCTGTATGTTACTGTGTTAAAAATTAAAAGAGCAAGTTGTTTTATAGCTGTTATAATTTTGAGGTAGTAAAGCACATAAATTATATTTTGATTTATCTGACAAACTGTAATACATGAAAGTATCTGTAATTTGTGTTGCTGACAAATTCACATTTATCCATTCAGAAATGGAGAGAATAGTTAAAGAATAGTGAAAATTAAGATGAATTTTATTCCTTCTAAGTTCAGGGGCTGCTGAACCTTTTTTGTAGCAAAAGCAGACACCTGATAGAGGTTAATTCCCTTTCTTGTAACTTCCTCTTTTGATGCTTCCTCCCAACAAATCCATTCCTCAAACTTTCATCACTCTTCACTTCCTAATAAAACAGGACCCCAGGATAGGGTCTGACACCAAGCATTTGGGGCAAGCCTGTGGGATAGGTTAATTTATATTTCCTTCTTTTATTTCATCACAGAGACAGGGTAGACCTCCCAGTTTCCAGGGAGAAATGGCCTTATAAGTGGAACAGATGGTATAGTTTCTAAAACATCAGAATGATACCAAGGATCTTCTATGGACTTGATTCCAAAGCACAACAAGTTGTCTTGGTCTTTTCCCTCACTCATCAAAGTACAGAAGTCTAGAGAAATGGAATTCTGTTCTTTCTGCTTCAGTTTCTGCCCTGTTTCTTGTCTGATGGAGTGAAAGCTATTTGTGTATCTCTTTTAGACTCTGCATCCAATATGTCATGTTGGTAACTTGAAACTAGCTTGGTGGGAATTTTTATAGCATAAAATCAGCAAACGTTACACATCAGGGATTCTCACCTCCTACTCCATGTCTTCCTGGAAAGCCAGTTGTTAAACATTTGCCAGCACATCTTGCCTGTTCCTATCCCTTCCCACTTGGTGATTCTGCTTTAACAAAATTGCCTTTCTTAGAAATATCACAAAAATGAAAAGAAAACTTACCAACTGGGGGAAGATATTTGCTCACCATATATTTGATAAGGGTTCAATATCCAAAATATATTAAGGTCTCATATAACACAACCACTAAAAATCAAGCAATTCAGTCAAATTATTGACAAGGGATTTGAATAGACACCTCTCCAAAGGAGAAATACAGATGACTAATAGGCACCTGGAAAAAATGCTCAACTTCACCTATTAGGTAAATACAAATCAAAACCACAACGAGGTACCCTTATACCTGCAAGGAAGGTAATCACTGAGTTGGTGAAGGTGCAGTGAGAAATGAACTCTCATTTGCTGTTGGTGGGAATGTAATTTGGTGCAGCATGTATGTCAAACAAAAGAGAGAGGTTAGGCTTACACAAACATAGGGTGAAGATGTATCCTTTGTATAGTTTTACAGATCAATAAAACTTTAAACACTCCATGACATAAACCTTAGAGATGTCTTTTTACAGTTGCATCCCCAGTAGAAAGGAAGCAAAAGAGAAGCAATTGGGATTACATCAAATTAGAAAACTTCCGCAGAGCAAAAGAGACTTAAACTGATATGGAGAGATACCTTACTGAATGGAGAAATGTTTGCACACCACACATCTGGCAAGGGACTGATACCAGAGATCTAACAAGATCTCATACAACTCAACAAAAAGAAAACAATCAAATCAAAAAATGGGCAGAAGAGCTAAATAGGCACTACTCTAAAGAAGACATACAGGGAGACTACAGATAGATTAAAATATGTTCTTCATCACGTATCATCAGAGAAATGCAAATCAAAACAACAATGAGATTCCACCTAATATCAGTAAGAATAGCCCATTGTAAAAAGACCAGAAACAACAAATGCTGGTGAGGTTGTGAAGAGAAAGGAACCTTTGTACACTGTTGGTGGCAATGTAGACTGATCCAGCCCCTTTGGAAAGTCATGCAGAGTTTCCTCAAAAGACTCAAAATGGATCTTCCATATCACTCACTGATTCCACTCTTTGATGTTTACCCAAAGAACACTAAAACACTAAAATGCTAATTTGAAAGGAAATCTACACTCTTATGCATATTGAAGCACTATTTACAATAGCCAAGATAATGGAAACAACCTAAGTACCAAAAAATAGATGAGTGGATCGAGAAGATGTGGTGCATATTCATCATGGAATACTACTCAGTGATTTAAAAAAAAAATCTTATGACATTTGCAGCAACATGAATGGAGCTAGAAAGGATTACACTCAGTGAAATAAGCCAGGGAGAGAAAGATAAATATAAGATAGTGTCAGTTACATGCAGAGTGTAGAGAAACCAAACAAAGGGTCAGACGAAGACAAACATTAAAGCCAACCCTTGAAAGCTGACCATAGATTTGGGGCATGCAGAGTGGGAGGGGTGACAATGGCTATAGGTGCTTTGGTGGTAGGATAGCTATGATGACTACACCTGAGTAGGGGAATCCTATGCTTTCAAAATCCTAACAAGAATGCAAAACAATGGTACTTCATTAAAAATGAAAAATTAAAAAAAATATAAAACTGAAAAATCTAGGATGGTCTTTAAAAAAATCAGTCTTTCTGTGGGAATCACAATCTACTCCAGACTTTCTCAGTTATTTACCCATTAAAACCTTTATTCGTGGACTACCTACTAGTGCCCCCAATGAAATGATATATCATGCAATGTACTTTAGGTTTTACCAACTTGATCTAGAAGAACGTTGTAATTATGTTCAATCAGGAAAACAAGAATCATGCAAGTTATTTTTAACAGAGATCATTTAATACAGGGAATTGATTTGCTCAACAGGCATTTGGAGTACTGTAACTGCAGAAAAGTGTAGCAGCTGCAGGGACCACCTACTTTACTTGGGGTGGGGAAATAAAGGGAAGAGGTTGAGGTTATTAGAACCTGGAAGCTGGGATGAAGACCCCCATAGAGTGGAGATCCAGGTCATGAAATAAGAGGTACAACCTGGCTGCTAGTGTCCCTGAAGGGAACCCTGGGAGTCTGGTTATGAGGATGTGGAAAAAATAGTATCTGCAACCAACTGCTGCTGTTAGGGCGGAGTCATTGCCAAGGTGATGTTGATAGGAAAAGGAAGCAAGCAGCAAAGAGCAAATCTCCTTCCTCTAGCCTTGCAGACTCCATTTAATACCCTTTATTGGCAGATCCTAACAGAAACCAGATGGCAAAGGAAAAATTTTTATCTGTGGCATTGAGCCTCAGAAGCTTACAACAGAGAACAGAAGGGTGGGTGGTGCTCAGAGACAATAGCTTAATAACTAACTCAGGTCCCAACCTACATATAAGGTCAGTTTCCAGACTGGCTGAATTTGGATAACTGAAGAGGTCTTTCCTTCCTCTCAAGGGCTAGAATAATTAGTTATTTTTTTGGAGACTTTCTTTTTTTCTTAGCCAGTGGAAGCTGTTCATTTGAGTAGAGAAAATCATGGTTTTAATTACATTTCTCTTATAATTCAAAAGCCTTTAAATAAAGAGAAAAGAGATTTTGGCAAAGAGCAAAACTATTTGGCAACTTGTTCTAAAGGGTTTTTCAGCATCCCTAGATTCATTTGTTTCTAATCCTATGATTACGTGCTGCAATGTTCCATTGTAAGTATCAGGAATTAAGAGGTATGTCCCTCGTTGTGGGTGGTGTGTGCTCAGAGGACAGCTTGGAGGTGACAGGGCTGTGTGCTTGAAACTAGACACATAGACACAAAAGGAAAGGGGCACCTGTTCTCCAAGACCCACCCTTCTGGGAGGTGCTGAGTGGGGCAGCTTTCTGAGGAGCTGGAGCAGCCTGGAGTCTTCTCCTTAGATGTACCATTGGTTACTGGAATGATTTCCTACAGATTAACTGCTCCAATGTGGAAATTTGACTAGGGCAATGTGCATAGTTAGAGGAAAGAAGATAGCCAGTTTTGAACTCATCTGAGCTACTTTGTATTTGGGTGACCATGAGATAGTTAATTTACTTTGTTATTGATAATTATTGTCTCTATCCTGCCCTTGTTTTGACTCTCACTCTGAGGATGTGAAGAGATGGTAGCTGAATAAGAAAGCATGTTACAAAGGGCAAAATTAAATAAAACACAAGGGATGAATAATTCTATTTCAGCTTACTTGGTTCTTCACTAGATAGGGGCACAAGAGAGCTATATCCTCCCCAACAATTTCTTTCAGTTACAGAGAAATTACTGTGTCTTTCTGGGCTTATGTTGCACTTCTATTTCCATACAAATACTTGTCTTTAATGTTATAATCAGCAAAGTTCCCAATGTGGAAATAAAAACAACTCCAGGAAAAGTATCTGTGTTCTCAGAATGATTCAGTTGACTTATTTATTATTTTCAATTTTTTTTTCTTGGAGCAAAAAGAGAGTCATTGTTTCTGAAAATTTATTTTGAATTTAGGGGTCTTTAACAACTACTACTGCTTCTCTTCCTCCTCCTTAATATTATTTTTGTTACATCTGTAGCAGTAGCGTTTATTGGGTGCATATTGTATGATGGACACTTTTAAAGCATTTATAAGATATCTGCTTAGTTAACTATGAGGTAGAGATTGATTTTATTCTCACTTAATGTTAGGAAACAGGCATAAAGAAGTTTATGCCTTGCTGGAGGTCACAATAAGTAAATTACAGAACTAAGCTTTGAACCAATGTAAACTAATTTCAAAGTCTGAATGTTCAGCTATTTACTTGTATTCTAGAAAAACCTTTTCATTTAATATGTATATCGGTTTTCTCTCAATGGCTCCTATTTGTTCACATAAAGATATCATCTACTGAACATTTACAAAGTACCAGATAGGATTTAAGCATTTTCTATGCATTATCTTATTTAATCCTTACAATACTTTGCTATCATTATCATTCTATGAAAATATTAAAGTTTAGAGAATTTTAGCAATTTACTTAATCAGACTCATACTTTTAATAACTTTTGAAGTTGACATTTGAATTCAGTTCTACATAGCTCATAATCCCATGTTTTAATGTAGGAAGTCACTTACCTCTTTGTAAATGTATAATACTACAAAAAATTGCCTGACCTCTTTCTCATGAAGGTATCCCTCAAATTTCTGCAAATATTAGTGTTAAACTTACAACATTGTGGAAAACTAAAGTTAAATTAAGATCAGAAATTCTGTGTCAGGGACTAGGTTATTCTACCAGTAAACTGTTAACTATTTTTTTTTAAACCTTTTTTTTTTTTAAGATTTATTTATTTATCCATACAAGCACTGGGTACAGTCAGAAGCGCACGAGGGTGAGAGAATTCACCAGAGCGGGGAACAGAGCAGGCAAACTGACGAAGTACACTGCTGACGGGAGCAGCGGGCGGCAGGAGAGGTCTGTGCGCAGCTCAACTGCTGCGCCACCAGGGGAGGCCCTAAACTGTTAACTATTAATACTAGTTAACCGATTAACTGCTTTAATTCTCAAACTTTGAACTTAAAAGACAAGGCCAAAATAAAAAGGGAAATACAGTTTATATAGTTCTTAGTTTCAGACAAAGAGAAGAAGACACAGACTTTCCCTAGCAATCAAAGTCAAGAAAAACTTATCCTAAATCTTACATTTGGACAGTAGTCAGAGTTTATGGGGAACTTCCATCTACACAAGGGAGCTTGCCATATTCATCATAGTGTGAATGATGCAGATTAGAATTTGTATAATAAATGAGGCAGATGAAGCATTTCTAGAGTATCCGTAAAGGAGATACTCTATTCACATCTGACATCCTTATCAGAATTCACATTCTAGTACATCATGTCATTGTCCTTAGATATGATATTATTACCACAGGGTAAATACTCTATGTGTTTACCAATGCCATAGAAGGAAATAACTTCATTTCTGTGCTAAAAATGAATTGCTTCTTGAAATTCTGGAATAGAAATTTTAAACTAACTTTAGACATGTTCAACTTATCTGTCTCTATTTTCTCCTTGCATTGTCTCACTCAGTTCTCAAACTCTGTTGTTTAGTTTTAAGCTGGTCCCATATGAATTAAGGAGTGTCTCAGTCTTGGCCAGCTCCCAGGCAAAAGAAACAAGGAAAGAAACCTTGGCTACAAACACGGCAAATCCTAGTTTCCTGTGGTACATTCATAGGCTTTTTGTATAGTTGTCAGCTAAGCCCTACCTGTAAGTTTTGTGCTAAATTGCACAGTCTGAAGCTAACTATAAATCATGAGGGAAAGTGAGACAAAGAGGGACAAAATCAGAAGACAAGTCAGTGCCATAGACATAGAGATAGAATAGCAACTTTTCAAGGTCAGAGAGATAAAGAGGCCTAGAACTGGGCTTATATTCAAGTGATGACAGAACATTATTGAGGTTAACACAGCAGTTCCTTAGCAAACCATACTCTTACCCACTTAGACTGGGGATTCATGCTGCATTATTTGATGGATAAAATTGCAAATTAGTCAGGTAAAAATCAATAAGTTCTTTTGACTGTGGTCATATATACAGATGTATGATCTTGACCAGGTTCTAGGGTTTTGTTCAAATCTGATATTATGTAGTTAAGTCCATAGGTCCATCCATCCATCCATCCGCCCACCATCTATTTAATAGAATTGCTTGACTGACTTAAGTATTAAAGCTAGTTCAATATTAATGGAAATGAAAGCTAAATTAAATATTTTTACCTCATAGTAATGAAGGAATGCCCCAGAAATGAAATAAATCCCTCTGCCCAGAATGTTCTTTTCCCAATACATGCAGGGTTGACTTCTACTCTTCCTTTAGAGCTCTTCTTAAATGTGATTATTTCAGTGCTCAGTTAGCATTTTCTTAAGTATCCTATGTAGGATAGCAACACCTCTCAGCTAGGAAACTGTGTCTCCATAATTATGAGTTATTTTTCTCCCTGATTAAATGTACTTCTTTTTTTTGTGTTTTGTCTGTCTACTCCTGAAGGTCAACTAGAATATCTATTCCATGGAAATAGGAGACGGTGTTTTACTCAACATGCTATCCCTGTAACAAGAAAAGTACTTGAAGAATAGCAGGTGCTTGATCAATGTTATTGAATGTGTAATACAAGGAAGAAAAAAATAATGCTAAAATAAACAAAAGGGTTGTTTGACAGCAATAGGGAAAGAGTGATCATTTTAGATAGAGGCTATAGTTTATGAATCTTTGAATAAAAATATAATACTTTACTATGAAAAGTAAATTCTGTGTATATGGGACAGCTACACGGCTGACTTCCAAGATAGATATATCCAGCATTTCAGAAATCAAGGTGCTGGTTAGATGTGATGAATGACCATATGATGCCTGAAAATTTTCCATTACCCTTTGCATTTTTTTTGTAGTCTGGGACCATCTGGAAACAAATGGGTTTGACCTCATTTCCAAAACTACTTGTGAAGCCTGTTCATGTTAACTAAGAGCTAAATCTTCACTACTGGGCTGTCTATGTTTGAATCCGTGCTCCAATCTTTACAGTTCTACTGATGGGACTCAAGAGAACACTGAACATTTTCCTTGTCACAAAAGTCATCATTCACTGGAGACTGAGAACAGGGAAGAGCTCTAATATACACTGGAATGGCTCAGTGCAACTCAGACTGCCAAAGAAAACAGGTGTTCAATGATTACTGGAACAAGTTTGAGCCAGGGAATCCAAGCTGTGCATGGGCCGATGTGACTATTTTCGTTGTAGTGCTTGTGGATGTCAGACAGGTAAATGAGGAATTGCAGGCAGGCAAGAAGACCCTTTGGGGCAGCTTTTCATTCCTAGATTCATTTAGCTAACCATTATTTATTGAGCATCTGCTTCGTGCAAGGCTCAGAGCATGACCTAGACTTGATCCTACCAGAGGGTCTCTCTCCAGGAAATGTGTGGAATCCCAAAAGATTTCAGGAAACCTTCTTTTGGAGATGGTGTTAATCAAAGAACATTATTCAGAGGAAGGAGAAACTTATTCAAACAAGCTTCTTTAAAGCAGATTTGAACTGGAATCTCCCCACCCCAAATCTAAAGGCAGAATGAGCAACAGCAGCTCAGTGTTTCTCTACAAGTTACTGTGCCCTATGCCCTTTGGATATTTACTTGACTCTTCTCTCTTTCTTGAATCTGGTTTCTCCTATGCTCAGTTCATCAGGCTAAAATTGACCATTTCAGATATGGCTGGGTAACACTCACCAGAAATATTCAAAGGAGACTGTCTGTGTGTTCTACTCTAAACCCCTAGGAGGAGAACCTGATTGACTTAACTTGAGTTTGGGATCCTCTTCCATCCAGCTGGGTTTATCTGGGTAAATGGGTCTTGTGGTATGCTGCTCACTCAGCAGACCTTTGGGAGGTGATTCTTCCAGAAGCTAGACTGAGGATATGGGAAGGACATGAGTGTCCTCTCTAATGTAGGTCCAAAATGCTATTCAAATCTAGGGACCAGTGATTTTTAAGTGGAACCTGAAGGAACAGAAATGTAATTTGACATCTGATTGGAACTGATAATTAGACTTAAGGGGAGAGGGGAAATTCAACTTCCCCTCTAAGAAAGGCGGGATCCCAAAGCTAAAGTGATGGAAGGAATTTTGGCACTTCTAGTCTCCATTCCAGATTTCTCTACCAAAAATATTTCCCTACGAGAATTTCCTTATACATGAAACTTTTTTGCCTTCTTGTAGGTACATATCCTAAAGTTGAATGATGAGATTAAAGAGCATGAACACCAGGCTCTTGATAACTATTGTTAAATGTCTCTTGAGTGGGTCAACTCATGCATTTGACACCGGTTCGGTATGACCATGCCCATGTTCCACATTGTTGCCATTAGAAGGAATTATAATATAAGAAGATGTCAATTTAATCTGTGCTTCCACTTACCCAGAGCAGAGCAGAGACCTGGTTTGCCCTGGGAGTAATGTTACTGGCTTCCCTGATGGGATGAGGCTTATGACAGAGCAGAGATAAAAATGATATAGTTCATCATCTCAAGTAACTAAGACTCTTTGGGGTTGGAGACATTTTATAAACACCTCTTTTTAAAGTAAAGGCAGTATAAAAATGTCAACAGTAGGAAGTCAGTAGGAAAGAGGCATGGGCTGCTCATCTCCAGGCTACTTTAGACATGGGTGATTTCTCAAGGTGCTATTGCAAGTAAGACAAGGTAGGCTTTTATAGATCTTTTAGCTTAGAGTAATGCTATCAGCAAGAGGCAGGTGTACTGACTGGGGGCATCTTTGAAAGTTCAGGTGTTAAGAGTGACAGATAAGAGCCAACATACTTGGAGAGCCACTTGATTCTTCAGAGCCTTGCACTGTAGGGTTCTTGACACTGCTTAGGAGCAGTGGCAGATTGGGCACTCTGATCAGACACTATGAAGCCTAGGACCTGGGTTGCTTCAAGAATTACTCAAGGAGGGCCTCCCCGGTGGCGCAGCGGTTGAGCGCTGGGTTGCGAAGCTGCGCGCGGCCTCTGCGGCGCCGGTTCGATCCCCGGCTGCTCCCCGGCCACCAGAGGAGGGTCCCACATGGCGCACAGACCTCTCCTGCAGCCCGCTGCTCCCCTCAGCAGTGTACTTGGGTCCTTCTGCCTGCTCTGCTCCCCGCTCTGGCTCTGGTGAATTCTCTCGCCCTCCCGCACTTCTGACTGTACCCAGTGCATGTATAAACAAAACAAACAAACAAACCAGCAAACAAATAAATAAAGCATGCCTCTATTAAAAAAAAAAAAAAAAGAATTACTCAAGGAGGTCTAGTAGGCAGTAAATGGGGGAAAAGGAGGCTATAGCTCCAAGTAAAAGCAAGGGTGGGAGAAATATCTTGGGAGGGGGTCATGTTTACAGTCTTGGAGGTGGGAATGATTTTAGTGAGAAGACTTGTATAGATTGCAATATGTGAAAGGTAGAGATGTTTCCCCTGGGATGGCTATTTATTGAGTAACTACTGTGTACCTGAAAGTACAGACAGAGGTGGATGCTATTGACACTCCATCCAGACTCCCTTTGGTCTCTTCTGCCAAGTCTGTATTTCCCATTTCAAGCTTCAATAGATATTTGCTTTCAAACAACTGGTGCCCGACAGTATTCTTTGACTCAAAATATGAATGGTATTCTGCTATTGTGCTCATATTGCCTCGTCTGAGACCACCATCTGAAGGGCTTTCCCTGAGATGGAATACTCACTTGACTTCCTTCTCTTCCTGCTGCTTCCATTCTTTTTGTAATTTTTTTTTTGTTTGATACCATTGTGATCAGAGAAGATGGGTGTGTGATTTCAATCTTCATGAATTGATTGACACTTTAGTGACCCAGCATGTGGTTTACACTCAAGATTGTTCCATGCACACTTAAGAAATATGCATACTCAACTTTTAAGGGGTGGGGTATTGAACAAAAATCTATTAAGCTCATCTGGTCTAATTCTTCTGTCTTTTTTTTTTTTTAAGTTTTATTTATATAAGAGCCAGGGTATAGGTCAGATGCACAGGAGGGTGAGAGGCTTCACCAGAGACAGAGCAGGGAACAGAACAGGCAGACTGATGAAATACACTGCTGAGGGGAGCAGCGGGCGAGACAGGAGAGGTCTGCTTGCCATGCGGGACCCTTGCCAGCCGGCCAGGATCTAACCTGCGCTGCAGAGGCTGTGGACAGCTTCACAGTGCTGCGCTCAACCGCCTGTGCCACCAGGGGAGATCCTAATTCCTCTGTCTTTTCTGGTCTAATTCCTCTGTCTTTTCTTCTTCCTGAGTTCTTTGTATTTTACTATCCTTTAACCTCCATTTCATCTCTTCTGCTTTCATAACTTCCTGTAGAATTTTTAAAATTGATCTTTTTACACCCAAAATCTCTGTTATTTTCTCACTTAAAGCTTCAATTTCTACCTCTTGCTCATTAACTTTATTTCTGAGCTTGTTCATTTTTTGGAGTTTTATTATATTTCTTTACTTAGCTTTTTGTGTTCTTTTATATCAATTTGGCTTTTCCAGTTTTTTTCCCAATCTCTTTAATTTTTTTTTATTATGGCAATTTTAAATTATCTGGCTGACAGGGAAATGAAATATTCCATGTATTTGTGGCTAGGTTTTAGACAGTTCATCTCTCCTTGTGATATTATATTCTTTTTAGGTCTCAGTTTGTCATGTGTTATATTTTTTGCCTGCTCATTTTGTTGCTTTAAAATTTTTAATTGAAAATGTCTGTAGCAGTAACTTAAAAAATTGAATCACTTTTATTTTCCCTTATGTGGCACTGTGATTATATTTAATTTTTCTCCCCTTGTTGGATTCTGTAGGTACTATGACTTGCTTTTGCAGTTGATGAATCAGCAGGCTGGAAGAGTGTCCTGGAGGGGTCCAGCCACTGGTAGAAATGTGCTAAAGGGCAAAGCTGGCTAGTATTTTTTTTTTTTAAAGAGGCATGTATTATTTATTTATTTGTTTGTTTTGTTTTGTTTGTTTATACATGCACTGGGTACAGTCAGAAGCGCGGGAGGGTGAGAGAATTCACCAGAGCCAGAGCGGGGAGCAGAGCAGGCAGAAGGACCGAAGCACACTGCTGAGGGGAGCAGCGGGCGGCAGGAGAGGTCTGCGCGCCATGTGGGACCCTCTTCCGGTGGCCGGGGAGCAGCAGGGGATCGAACCTGCTCCGCAGAGGCCTCTGGCAGCTTCGCAACCCAGCGCTCAACCGCTGCGCCACCGGGGAGGCCCTGGCTAGTATTTTTGACATTGCTGATATGCTTCCTCTGTGGGCTTCCAGATTTGAGACTGTATGTTCTGTGTTCTACTCGGGTGCTTCATGAAGTCAGTACCAGTTCCCAGAGGTGGAGAAGATGGAGTGCAGTCCAGGGAACTGGATCTGTTCTTCTTACTGGGGACCTTGCCTTCATGGAAGATCCAAACTCCTTTCCTGGGTGCATTTTCTTAATAAATCAGCTGTGTATGAATACAAGTCTCGTGTTCTGCTTCTGAGGAAGCTGATCTAAATTATCCCACTCTCATTTGGATTAAGTACAAACTTTGGGAAGAAAATATTATTATCTCCATTTTATAGAAGAAGACCCTGTGTCTCAGAAGGTGGTATTATATCCTAAACTAATGATTCCAATTCAGTTCTGCCTGACACCATGAGTTCAAAAACATGAAAACAATTAGCATTTTGATAAAGCTAGCCAATGGTGTCCTCACAACTCGGTTGTTTTCTCAAGATCATGTAGATAGTCTCCTGATTGAATTAAAAAATTCAGTTAAGTCTGGGATGAAGTCTGAGGTCTCAGACCTATGAAGAGTTGGCCAATAGTGCTACGAAACATTTGTTGTCTTTCCTCCTTTAGTGTGTGGGTACACTTGCTACATTTATTATCACTCTGCTCTAAGAATCTGCTTTTACATATGGTCTCCAGATAATCTAGTAAACTCATTGAGGACCAGGATTATGTACTAATTACAGCAAAATTCCCAGAATTTATCACAGTGTTTGTCACATGAGAAGTACTTAAATGAATATGCCTTTAATTAAATGATCCAGCCACAGGGCAGATTTCTTCATGAAAAGTCCACTCTCAAGAAGTCAATTAAGTTAAAACAAAGGGAATTTTCTGAGTCCTTAAAAAGAGCTGCCATACTTTGAGTTAATTTCTTACTCTTGGGTAACTATGTCACAGCTTAATGCAAAGACCTCAAGTCAGTGTTCTCTCTATCAAGTATATTTCCTCTGCGGTTTCCTTTCCAGTAGCATTAACTAATTCTGTCAAAGGGTTTTTACCCTTGATTTATTTTCAGGTGATATACATATTTTAAAGACCCAGTGACATCAACTCTAATTCTGGGGAATTATGAATCTCTCTTCTTAATTTTCTATGCAGAAATCTTCCACCAAAATCAAACCTAATTATTATGTTGGCCATCAAACATGAGGAATGCATAAGATATGATTGAAATAATTTTAGGTGTTAAAATGGCATTATTATTTTTTAATTGTGCATCTATATTAGAAGTCCTTATGTTTTTTTCTACTGATGCTGCTAGCATATTTTCCTTGCTGTGCATTTATCAATCCACCACTCAATATACTGGCCTAGTTAATAATTCGAATGCATATTTTGACTCACAGTTCCTAGAATTTGTCTTTTGAAAGTTATGTAGGTGGACTTTGTGATTATGTAAGCACAGACCTAAGAGGACGGTGGGAGCTCCAGCTGAGAACAAGCAGGTGCTGGACGATCTTCTCTTAGCCTCACTCTGCTAATGTCTCCCTGGGTGTAGGCTGGTGCTGTGCTGCTTCTGTTATGCAGCACAACAAGATAACTGCCTACTGTGCCCTGTCACATATTTATTCCCCAACTGTAACTCAGAAATAGGGGAACTGACTTTTGGACTCGGCAGCCTTTAAAGTGACAACCACAGAAGGAACTCAGATCTGGAATCAGAGTTTGGAAGGATAGGTTGGGGGAAATCCATGGTAATAACTAGGTGCTTATGTGAACCCCTGAACTTTATGGCAAATAATGCTTATACATGTGTATCTGTTACTATTGCTGTATAATACACCACCCCAAAACTTGGCAGTAGAAAGTATCATTACTTTTTAATGATTCTTCTGAAAAAGAAGTTCTGAAATTCAGACAGGGCATAGCGGGGTTTATATTTTTCTTTCACTTGTATCTGCTGGGGCTTGAACATCCAAGATGGCTTCATCACTCACATCTCTCAAGGATTGTTCTAATGGCTCCAATGTCTTTATGAAGCAATGTTAGATCTTGATTTATTTGTGTTAACTGCTTTGTTTGGTTGTACTTCTTTGGTCTCTTGCTCCATGGTCTCTCCAGCGAGTAGTGAGATTTCTTACATGAGTGCTACCTAGAGTGAAAAAGTAGAATCCCCAAGGCTTCTGAAGCTTAGTCACAAACTGGCATAGAGCTACTTGACTGTATCATTACTTATGTCATAGGTTGACCCAGATTCAAGCAAAGGGAACTCTGTGAGTATGTGAATACTGGAGGCATGGTCCTGGCAGATCTATTTATGTGACAGAACAACAAAGTATAGTTGGAGGAAGAGAGTTTAAAGACCTGGGATGTATAGACTAAATAGGCTGCTAGGGTTTGGGACTTACACAGATTTTCCAGATTAAATATAGGCCAATTAAATTTGAATTTCATAAATATAGTAAATATGTTCCTTGTAAATCAGCATAGAAATTAATATTTGAGACATACTTATATTAAAACTTTTTTTAAAGTTTTTTGGAGTTCAAACCTAATAGAGCATTCTATCTTTTTATTTGCTAAAAATCTGGCAACCCCATTTGAAAGTCCTGTCAATAGAACTATGTTCTGGGACCTAGATGTTTTTTACTGGTCTAATTATAAGGTGGTTCAGAAAAAATGAGGACCAGAACATGAGAATGGAGAAGGAGGGACAGATCTGTGAGTCTAGCAGAGAACATTTGGGCTGGGTAGGCAGTCTGAGCCTTCAGGCAGAGTACAAGAGTTGCTGAGATTGGAAGAGTAGAGGCAGACAGGCAGAGAGGAAATCTTAACTCTGCATCATTGCTCTGAGAATCCATTTTTTTTTCTTTTTAGGTTTTCAAGGAAGGAAAATAACAGTGCTACTTTATAGGGTTGTGGAGAGGATTAAATATAGGGGTGCCTGGAATGTACTTGACATGGTGCCTGGTACATAGTAAGTATGGAGAACAGGCTAGGTATAATCACCCTCAGAGTAACAATTATGGTAATGATAGTAGTGTTATGGGTATTGAAGCTGGTGCACAGAGTGGGGGAGAGATACAAAGAGAACTCATATTCCCAGACCACGTGCCAGGCTCTGTGCATGGTGCTTGCAATGCTCGATCTCTCTTAATCATAACAGCCTTTGCGGGGACAATAAATCAATTTTAGAGATTAGTGCCAATTGACTTAGAAGAATTTAATAAGTTTGCCTGAGTATCAAAGTCAGGTTCCTCTGACTTCATAATTTTTTCCCATAAAGAAGAACAAGTGGGGGGGCGGAGCAACATGGCGGCGAGGAGACACTGCGAGTAAGATCTCCCATTAAAAAAAGTGAATAGGGAGGAAAAGCGGCAGGTCCCAGTGAGAACTGGGACACGGAAGATAAACGGGTGACGCCAGCGAACTGCCCGAAGAAGAAAGTGGCCATAAAAGAGGACTAGAAGGGAGGGAAGCGCAGAACCCTGCTCCCCTCCCCCGCCCACAGAGGCGGCACTCTCCGCCCGGCAGAGAGGAGGAAACAACAAACCAAAACGACCCACAAGAACAAACAACACAGCAAGCGGGACTGTGAGTGGAAAGGAACTATTGCAGCCACCACACCCCGTGAACGGGAGCTGAGGCGAACCCTGCAGGATTCGCCCTGGCGGTGAGCGAACGGCTCCGGGCGCCATTAGAGAAGAACAAAGACCCCAGGAGACGCGCACACAGCCCAGGCTGCCGGTAAGCTGGCGCAGAAACGCATCGCGCTCGGTGCACTTGAAAAGCAAGTGCAGACCTGGATCGCGGCTGCCCAGGTCCCCGCGCCTGAGACCTAGGCTTGCGGGGAGACGACCTAGGCTTGCGGGGAGACGACCTAGGCTTGCGGGGAGACGCGCAGAGGTCCTCACTGAGGTGAAGGTCCCTCCCTGAGTGAGCAGGAACCAGGCGCCCAGGCACGGGAGCTGTGCAAAAGGCGCCATTCCAGCGCCACTGAACTGGGCTACAGCCCGCGTCCTGGAACTGAGGGCTTTGAACTGAGACCTGGGGCACGAAAATTCGGGGCGTGGTTTCTCCACGACGGTGGGGCACAAGGCAGACACAGCACCCCAAAGCTGTTGAGGTGAACCCTACCATTCCCGCTCTGTTCTCTGTCCCACGGGGTGGGGGGAGGCGAAAAACAGCCCCCCAAGGACAATAGGAGAGATCTCTGGCGCCACCTAGCGACCAGGAAAAAAAAAAGTCACTAACACCCTATAAAACAGGACATTTCTTAAGACTGCTTGAAAAGGACAGAAGGTTTCTGGAGGACCCAGTGGCCAGCCGGGAAGTTATTCCACGCCAGGCCCCTTCTGACCAGCAGTCTGAGCCCACAGAGGGAGCAGGCACCCACGTCCGGGGCAGACCGGGTGCGCAGAAGAGTGTGCCTGAAACCGGAGGTGCAGGGACTGCATCCCGCTTCGCCATTTGAGAACAGGGACATTTCTTCAGTAAAAACTGCCTAAAACCAGCAGAAAGCTCCCCCAGAAGACAGAGATGGCTCCTGGAAGAGCCAGAGGGGAGCGGAGAAGTTCACCCAAGATGTCAGTCAGTCCGAGCAACACGGTGTCCCAACGCATACGACAAATTAGAAAACAGACAGTAGGGAGTAGAAGAACCACACGCAACCTAAAAACTCCTCAGGAAAGAAGCACACCACAAAAAGAAAACCACTCCCCAGATTGCAACGACAGCAACTTGGAAGAACTTCTGAGCCTTCCAGAAAGAGAATTTAAAATTGCCATGATTAAAAAAGTGATAGATCAGAAGAAGGAAATTGAGTCCCTAAAGAGGGAAGTAAGAGAAATGCGGGAGATCAAAGAATTAATGGAGGAACTAAAGAACTCTGGGAAAAGCAATGAAAGCAGAATAGATGAAATGGAAGAACGAATAAGTAATCTTGAAGACACAGAAATAAAAAGAACCAAAACAGAAAAGGAAAGAGAAGTACGAAGGAAAAAGAATGAAGAAAGACTTCGGGAACTATCTGACTCCATGAGGAAAGGAAATATAAGAGTTATAGGAATTCCAGAAGGAGAGGAGAGAGATGTAGGAACAGAGAAAATATTCATGGATATAATTGAAGAGAACTTCCCAAATGAGAAGAAGGAGCTGAAAATTGATATACAAGAAGCAAGAAGAACACCAAACTTCCACGACGAAAGGAAAAACACAGCAAGACACATAATAGTAAAGCTCCCAAGAATCCAGGACAAGGAAAAAATAATGAAGCTGACAAGAGGGAAGAAACAGATAACATTCAAAGGAAAACCAATCAGGCTGACATCAGACTTCTCTGAAGAAACACTACGGGCAAGGAGAGAGTGGAGGGACATAGTCAACAGACTCCAAGAAAACAGATGCCAACCAAGAATACTCTATCCCGCAAAGCTCTCTTTCCTCCATGAAGAAAGAATATGGACCTTCCCAGACAAAGAGAAACTCCGGAATTTCATTAAGACTAAACCCCCACTCCAAAAAATACTACAAGGAATCCTAAAGCCAGAACCTCAGAGGGACGAATAACAACGAAAGAAGACCAAAAAAAAAAAAGTTATTAAAAGAATAAATAAATAAAATCAAAGGAAAGACAAACAATGGCAAATACAGATGCTAACATATCAATATTAACTCTAAATGTAAATGGACTAAACTCTTCAATAAAAAGACACAGAGTTGCAGCCTGGATTAAGAAACAAAACCCAACCTTTTGCTGTCTCCAGGAAACACATTTAGCTACAAAAGATAAAAATAGGCTCAAAGTCAAAGGATGGAAAACAATCCTACAAGCAAATGGGCCAAAAAAGAAAGCAGGAACAGCTATACTTATATCAGATAAAACAGACTTCAAACTCAAAAAAATAAAAAGAGACCCCAGTGGTCACTACATTATGATTAAGGGGACAATACTTCAAGAAGAAATAACACTCATTAACATATACTCACCAAACGAAAGAGCACCAAAATATATCAGACAACTGTTGTCCTCTCTGAAAACAGACATCAGAGAAAACACATACGTAGTGGGAGACTTCAACACACCACTATCAACAATGGATAGATCAACAAGACAAAAAATAAGTAAAGAAACTAAAGCTCTAAATAAGGACCTAGAGCATTTGGGCTTAACAGACATCTATAGAACACTAAACCCAAAAAAAACGGAGTACACATTTTTCTCAAGCGCACACGGATCATTCTCCAGGATCGATCACATACTGGGGCACAAGACAAACATCAACAGATACACCAAGATTGAAATCATACCAACCATCTTTTCTGACCACGAAGGCATCAAACTAGAAATAAATCATAAAAAGAAGGCAAGGAACTATCCTACCTCATGGAGATTAAAAGCCACACTACTGGAAGACCACTGGACTAACGAGGAGATCAAAGAAGAAATTAAAAAATTCTTTGAATTGAATGACAAGGAGGACACCAATATCCTAAATGTATGGGATGCAGCAAAAGCAGTAATAAGAGGAAAATATATAGCAATAGAAGCTCACATCAAAAAACAAGAAAGAACTCAAAGAAACAACCTAATCTCGAAGCTCAAAGATCTAGAAAAAGAACAACAAAAAAACCCCAGAACCAGTAGAAGAAAAGAAATAATAAAAACCAAAGCAGAAATAAATGAAATTGAAACTAAAAAAACAATCCAAAAGATCAATGAAACCAAGAGCTGGTTCTTTGAAAAAATAAATAAAATAGACAAACCCCTAGCCAGGCTCACAAAGGAAAAAAGGGAGAAAGCACAAATACACAGAATCATAAATGAAAGAGGAGAAATCACAACGGACACAGCAGAAATCAAAAGAATAATCAGTAACTACTATGAACAGTTATATGGAAACAAGTTCAACAATCTAGAGGAGATGGACAAATTCCTACAACTCTACAATCACCCAAAGCTAGATAAAGAAGAAATAGAACACCTAAACAGACCAATTACAAGCAGCGAAATTGAAATGGTAATTAAAAACCTCCCCAAAAACAAAAGCCCAGGACCTGATGGATTTACAAATGAATTCTACCAAACATTCAGAGACGAATTAGTGCCTATCCTTCACAAACTCTTCCAAAAAATTGAGAAGGAAGGGACAATACCAAACACGTTCTATGAAGCCAATATTACACTAATACCAAAACCGAATAAGGACAACACAAAAAAGGAAAACTATAGGCCAATCTCCCTAATGAACACTGATGCAAAAATCCTCAATAAAATTTTAGCTATCAGAATCCAACAATGTATTCATAAGATAATTCACCACGACCAAGTTGGATTCATTCCAGGGGCACAAGGATGGTTTAACATCCGAAAATCAATCAACGTTATCCAACACATCAACAAAAAGAAATATAAAAACCATATGATAATATCAATAGATGCTGAGAAAGCTTTCGACAAAGTGCAACACCCATTCATGATAAAAGCCCTTGAAATTCTTGGGATACAAGGAACATACCTCAACATCATAAAGGCCATCTATGACAAGCCAACAGCCAGTATCATTCTCAATGGTGAAAAGCTGAAAGCAATTCCATTAAGATCTGGAACAAGACAAGGATGTCCACTCTCACCACTGCTTTTCAATATAATACTGGAAGTCCTAGCCAGAGCAATAAGACAAGAGAAAGACATCCAAGGAATCCAAATAGGAAAAGAAGAAGTCAAACTATCACTATTTGCAGATGATATGATAATATACATAGAGAACCCCAAAATCTCCACAGAAAAACTAATTCAACTCATCAATCAATTCAGTAAAGTGGCAGGATACAAAATCAACACGCAAAAGTCAGTAGCCTTCCTATACACAAACAATAAATCTGAAGAAGAAGAAATCAAAAAAACCACCCCTTTTATTATCGAAACAAAAAAAATCAAATATTTGGGAATAAATCTAACAAA